TGTTCCAGGCGGAGGACTTGTGGAGGAGTCTAGGGGGGTAAGGGGGTTTGGATAGGTTTGTTATAAAGGAACAACATAGAGTGCGACGAACTTTCGGACCGGCGCAGTAATACTATTGAGGATTCAGATCTCTATATTCGGCTGTTTGATACGACTGCCAAGCCGCCGTTGTTGTTACCACTTCGGTCGGCATGCTCGAAAAAGCGCCGCAGCCTCAGCTGCTTTCAGGCTCAAGAGAAGCCCTAAACCCTCAACTCTCGACTTAAAACCGCAAATCTTAAACCCTGAAACTTAAACCTAAAACGCGAAACCTCAAACCTAAACCCTAAACCTTTTCCCCGAAACCTGCAAGTCGAACTCGTAGCTTCGGCCAAGCTCGAACCCTGATCCCCCCAACCAAACGTGAGAACATGGGTGTAGGGTTTAGGGTTTAGGGTTTAGGGTTTAGGGTCTAGGGTCTAGGGTTCAGGGTCTAGGGTTTAGGGTTTAGGATTCAGGGTTTGCAGCTTCGGGCTCCACTCGCAGGTTAGCAAACCTCACCATGCACGCCTCCTAAGAACCGAACACTCAATCACCAGCAAGAACTTAGAACAAGAAGGATGATCAGAAGGTGAAGAAGAACAATGCTGCAATCACAGCCAGAACAATGACGAATCGCAACACTTGCTGTCGTCAGTCTTGTAGCAACGCGCCTCACACGGGTAGCAATATTACATTGCCCCGCCCGATGCCACATCCCAAATCCCATTCCCGGTCCCGATTTGACCCGAAAGCCGATACACCCAAAGCCCTCATAAATCTTAGCCCAACCCCTAAACCCTAAAGCCTAAAACCTAAAACCTAAACTTAAACTTAACCCCAAAAACCCGACAAACCCTAAACGCAAACCCCAAAGCCAACCCTAAACCCTAAACCCAGAAAGCCCTAAACCCTAAAACCCCCCAAAAACACGGCAGGCAAGGATTCCTAGAGTCCCAGAGCTCTGAACCCTACGGAAGCGGTTTAGGATTTAGGGTTTATAGGGTTTTAGGGTTTATAGGGCTTTAGGGTTTAGGGTCTTACGGTTTAGGGCTTTAGGGTTTTAGGGTTTAGGGTTTTAGGGTTTAGACCCTAGACCCTAAACCCTAAACCCTAAGCCCTAAACCATTAGGGTTTAGGGTTTAAGGCTTTTGTTTTGTGTGCGGTGGACTGTCGGCTGGCGAGCGTCCTGGCAGGATTAGGATTTGGCGGGTTTGGGGTTTTGGGTCTGGGGTTTCGGGTTTAGGGTTTAGGGTTTAGGGTTTAGGGTTTAGGGCTTAGGGTTTAGGGTTTAGGGTTTAGGGTTTAGGGCAGCATTAGGACTTGGCGCTTAGGGTTTGGCTGAGAGCCCGGCAAAACCGCCACACCTGGGCCCTCCTCCTCCCGGCCCAAACAAAGGATGTCGCGGCAGATAGCCTTGGCTAAGGCGGCCAAGGAAGCCAGGTTTTCGGGTTTAGGGTTTAGGGTTTAGGGTTTAGGATTTCGGGTTAGGGTTTTGAGTTTGTTGTTGCCGATTCTCTTCCTGGTTTAGGGTTTCCACAACCCACTGCTCTCAAACCCTAAACTCTAAGTGCCAACTGTGAATTCTACAGCAAGGCTGCATGGGTCCCACGTAGATTCTACCACCACCGAAGCTCTACTTGTAAGAAAAAGGGCAACAACAACGACAACGAAAGCCACTGCCATGACAATGACAATAACCAATATTGATGATAACAGTGGCCAGCAGAAGCTTCAATAGTCATACTAGCAAAGGCCTGCAGATGGTTTTACTTTCTGTGCCCCTCCACTCCCCCACCCCAATGCTCCAAGTAGACCGCGAAGAAAAGCCTAAACGCTAAACCCTGAACCCGAAACCGTGAACCCTAACCCAGAACCCTAAACCCAGAACCCTAAACCCTCAACCCTAAACCCTAAACCCTCAACCCTAAACCCAGAACCCTAACCCTGAACCCTAAACCCAATGCTGCCCAGACAGGTTTAGGGTTTAGGGTTTAGGGTTTAGGGTCCCCTAACCCTGAACCCTAAACCCAATGCTGCCCAGACACATCCAAGAGCTTCGGAACGAACCTGGTCTTCTGAACAAACAGACTTCCCCAGAGGTTCGATATGGGCTCCGACAAGTTTCTAGAGCATGGGAGCCTTCATAATTTCAATAGGTGTCTGGGGCTATACACCGTCTCTGATTGAACCGCCGTAGTAATGGATTTCTCGATCAGAATCTGAGGCAAGATCCACCACTGCACGCCAGATCCTGCAATTTAAACCCCGTTCCACCCTAAACCCTAAACCCTGAACCCCTAAACCCTGAACCCTAAACCCTTAAACTCTAAACCCCTAAACCCTAAACCCTAAACCCCTAAACCCCAATGCGATGGCCAGGGGCTTTAAGACTGACAAGAACAGCAAACGGCAGCGACAATGCTCACCGCAATGCCGTTGTTGTTGATATCGATCGTCGTCACCGAACCGCTACCAACTCCAGGCATTGATATGAATAATGCTACCCCGAAACCCTGAACTCTCAACCCTCCCTAGAACCCCGAACCCTAGGCGTCGACCAACATGAGCACCTCTGGACATGATTCCCCGCGGAACTTCCCAGGTCGATGCACTACGCTGGACTGAGGACGACTTTGACTCGTTATGATAGCATATTATACTATCTTATACTATAGTATACTATATTATGCTATATTACACTATATTATACTATATTAAACTATAAACTATATTAAACTGTATTAAACTATATTAAACTATATTAAACTATATTAAACTATATTAAACTATATGAAACTATATTAAACTATATTAAACTATATATTAAACTATATTATACTATATTATACTAAGCAACTTCCGATCCTCTCATCCAAGGAACGCCGTCTCTGGCGTAGTGGGCGTTGGGTGCGTGAGCGCGAAGTGCAGCGACAAGGTGGCCAAGAAGGTCTCCACGCGCACGTTACCGCCTGAAGCAGCCCCAAGAAGTAAATCGTAGACTACAATCTACAATCTGAGCAATAGCGACAGCAATAACTCTACTAGAAAGAACAGCAACACTATTAACTTTAGCAGTCGCAGCAAGACAAAGTAATTTGTAGACTCAGTGTAGACACCCTAGCCCCCAATCTGCTAGCCTGTGGTTCTTGGTGTTTACTGGTCTTAAGTCGCTTGTCCCGAGTCAGAAATTTACCTGTTGTAATCGCCCCAACGACAGATGCCTGAAACCCTTGGCCTAGACCGCAACAAGGACGGAATCTTCGAGGAGGGGACTGCAAAGGTCACTAGCTCCTTCGAGTGCATCTCCGAAGTTCAGAATTTGAATGAGAAGCCCGACACCCTAAACCTTGAACCCTGAACGCTTAACCCTAAACCCCTAAACCTGGCAATGGGGTACCTTGGCAGCACCCGGCAATACCCTAAAGCCTCAACTCTAAACCTTCAACTTCAAAACCCCGTATAAAAGGGTTAAGGGTTTAGGATTTAGTATGCGGCCCCTTCTGAAAACACCCTCTAGAGCCCTTTAAATCAAGGAAAGAGCAAGAACAGAGAACTCCAAAAGCCCTGTACTCCGAAACCGCCCTCAACCGTAGAGAACCCTAAGAAACCGTAAGAAAGTAGCCTAAGAAACCCTCATCCTAAACCCTAAACCCTAAACCCTAAACCCGAAGGCCTAAGGCCTAAACCCTAAACCCTCAACCCCAAACCCTAAGGCCCCTAAGGGCCCTTTTTTTCCCCCCCTTTGGATCAGGCCTTGGTCGGCGGTGGTCCGGTAGAGCGCCTTGGCCTGAGAGGGAAGCAGCACCTGCCAGGGGGTTTAGGGATTTAGGGTTTAGGGGATTTAGGGTTTAGGGTTTAGGGGTTTAGAGGTTTAGGGGCTTGGGGGTTTAGGGATTTAGGGTTTAGGGTTTAGGGTTTAGGGGTTTAGGGATTTAGAGGTTTAGGGTCTAGGTATTTCGGGGTTCAGGGTTTAGGGCTCAAACATGGTCGCAAATAAGGGCTTAGGGTTTAGGGTTCACATATGGTCCCAAATAATTCGTACTTAGGGTCTAATTTAGCATAGGTGGAAGGTCTAGGCGAAGAGAGAGAGTCTAGGGGGTGGGTTCTACTCGGTTTTTATGTTTATAGGCAGAGCAGCCAGAATGCATACGAAACTTTTTACTTGAGCCAACGACAGTCGTAGGTGTGAACTAGCTACATCT